TCCGGGTTTCTCCCTTCCAACAAACTTGCCAACTTAGACAGCATATCTTCTTGAGCCTTAAGCATGTCCTCTTGCATTTTCCTTAGATCATCTTGCAACTGCAGTTGAATTTTTTCAATTTGAGTAATCCTATCTTCCATGGTTCTCTCCATTGTATTATAATGATGCTTGGACGTCCCCAGTATTTCTCTGTCACAGTTCCTTTACGAGTTACTCTCATGTTTTCATGATTGATGCATGTAAAAATGCTTAAATTAAAGCGATGCAAATGCAAATGTGGATGCAAAATGCAAATGCAAAAGGTGTTAATTCAAAAGTGACCACTTATAGAACAACCGTTCACTTAGACAACAAGAATTCAGTAAGTACACCATGTAGTCAAAATACAAATGTGATTCTTCATCTCTTCATTTTCTCGAGTCGTACTCTTCCTAGGATCTCGAATTGCACCTCCAAAATTGCCGGCGTATTTCATCACCTTTGATGACGTCAGATGTCTTTAAATTGAATCTTGGGATCTCCATCTTCACTTTAACGCAAAACAGTCTTCGTGTCTTTGTGAAAGATCTTCTCGTCCTTGGTATGATTGTATCTATCTCTTGAGTCAACATCTCGTCCTTTGCAGCTTTAAAGGAATTCTTCAATCAGCTTCAGATATCGTCATTCATCGGGTGTCATTCTTCATGGATCACTTGAACATCTCTGGATCTCCCGATTTTGACTACATAGTGGAGAATTTATTGCCTCAGTATGGTCAGCCTTCTTGTTAGTCAATCACTTGCGAATTAACACCCCTTGATGACATGAGGATGCAAATGCAATAAAAGCACAATAAAATCGACATAGAACAAAAACGGGTTAGTACGCATAAGATAAACAACAAGATAGTAAGTACCGTGAACATCGAATAAAACATGATCTCTAGTTCGCATACTTTTTGCAAAAATAAATTCGAGGAAAAGGTTAGAATGAGTTTCCCCCTCTGCGACTTTTGAAGAAAAATGGGTAGAGGTTCGATATAAAACAGGCAGAATTCTAACAGGGCCCTTGAATTGTCCTTTGCTGGTGCCCCCTTAGGCTTGCCAGACCCTCGATTCTCACCCATTATGGGCTTAAAACGAATCAAGTTCAATTCGAGAGGATACATATCCCCATATCCATGCGAGGAAACTCAATGTTTTCTCGTAGACATAAGGCATGTACCCCAGAGGTTACTAGCTAAAGCCCGTGCGGAGAAAATTAATTTTTCTCACGTAAGCGTAGCTTTCACCCCTACTTAATGGGACAGAGCACAGTTAGAAGGCTCTGAATATTGAAGGTTTAGCAACAGTGGGGAAACTCATAATCCTTTGCCTCGATCCAAGAAACTCAACAAACTAAAGGTTAGAAAACTGAAACATGTAGATCACACGTTAGTACAACTATTTATTTGTAAACCAAATCACAAATAAAAATGAAAACAAGAAATTCAACACAAACAAGGGATCAAAAACCAAATTAAAACGAACTTATAACTTTCGTTTGCAAAGACAATTAATTAATCGACTATCGGCCTGACTCTCTAAAAAAAAGTCCCCAGCGGAGTCGCCAAGCTGTCGAAACGTTTTTTAACCGGTGCGGGGCGAGATTCTGAAAACCGCGTCATTTTTAATTATTATCTTTTCAATTGAATTTTTAATTAAAAACAGTGTGATTTTAGAAAACCTCTCGTTTCGAAAAATTGGAAATTCCTTTACGATAAAAATATAAGGTTCGAGGAGTCGCCACCAATCTTTGATTAGGGTGTGATTGGGCACCCAAAAACATTGTCATTTTAAATAAAAATTAATTTTAATTAAAACGACAAATTTACGGTCTACGTTACCAAAATCCAAGTTCGGGAGTCGGTTACGCGTGGGGAAGGATTAGTACCCCCACAACGCCCTAAATCGGTACCTAGTTGATTAATTAATTTCTTTGCAACGAATTTCGCAAGTTCAAATTTAATTTGATTAATGATCCCTTTAAACAACAAACATGCAAATTTGCAACATTCAAAGCAACAAAATAGATTTAATTTAAAATTACCAAGTCATTAGAAAGATAAAGAATATTCGATTATTTAAAAATATCGAGACCAGATCTTTAGTTCAGTTCTAACGACCTTTTCTCGAAAAGTTTAAATAGTCGAATATTTCCTTTTCTTTCGCTCCCAAATTTTACAATGATATATCCAAATTTAATTAGGCGTTACTGACGGGATACCATTTTAATTTAAAATCGTCAAAACAACTTTCCTGTAAGTTAAGAAAAGCCATTATGATAATTTTAGATTAAAAGGGCATTACCCTTAATTCCGATTATGTGATTAGATCGAGTTATGCACACAAGATTAACATGCTTTTTTAAAATAAAAAAAAACAACTAAACAAAAGTGTACTAACAACATGCTCGGAATACTATATATGCATACATTTAAAATAAATATAAATTAAACTTACGAACATGGATAAAATATTAAATAAAGGGGCTAAAATGTAAAGAACACAAAAGACAGGCTCTTTTCATAACATTTTCATTTCTGGGCAGTCCAAACATGAAACAACCAAAATACTACATAGGATCAAAATGCAAGTTTCTAAAACTATGCATCCAATGTAAAAACAACACAAAAATGGCCCCAACATGAATTTGGACTATCATGAAAAACGCTGAAAATCATGCAACGAAATCAAAAGATAATAAAGTTCAGTATAGGGACCAAATCGAAATGAAACAAGGTTGGGATGGCCACGCACACAATTACGCCCTAACAATCTCAATACACGGATTCCCTCAGCTATCAGAACGCTGTCGTTTTTGGGGGTATCTAAACGACATCGTTTTGGCATTTTAATATATGAGATATTAGGGTAAGCTCTTTACCCTAATTTCATTTCTCTTCAGCCAGACCAAACCAAGCCCTGCCGTTTTCCTTCTTCTCTCTCACTATCTCTCATTCTATCTCCCTCAACCCTAAACAAAACCAAAGGCCACCGCCGTTCAACGCTCCGATGAGGAGTCCAAAATGGCCAGAACCCTTCTCTTCTTTTACCCTGAACCCAAAATCTTCGAACCTACCACACAATAGCGACCAAAACCCGAAGTTTAAACTATTCCCCAAACCTTACTACCTAAACCATGTGACCACCGTAGTACGCCCCTCTCAACGCCCTGTTGAGGAACCGAGACCTCAAAATAAACCTTACTATCCCCCTCTCAGAACCCTAGCCTCATTGAAACAAAGACCTCTCCCATGAACTAGGATCTAACCAAGCCTCTAGAAACCATATTCTCATGCAACCACAGTACCCAAAGATGAAACTCTTACCCTCGGTGACAAACAGGACTCATGTTCAGGCGATGGCGATGACTCTGTTCTTCGGCTAGGGAAGGTGAGGGTTTTACCTTTTGTTTTTGCTCTTTCGTTCTCTGCCTCTTGTTGATTTTGCTTGACTGGGTTGTTTTGTTACCGCTGATGATTGTCTCAAATGGATTGTTTTCTGTCTGGTTTATTTTTTGGTCCTTAATTGCTTCGTGGTTCTTGTTCTCTGATTTACTCGAGGGTTTTGGACACCAGTTTTGGATTGTTTCTTTGATGGTTGATTTTGGATTCTCTGTTGTTCTCGTTGGTTTTCTGTTTTTTTTTTTGTGTTTCTGTTCGTAATTGCCTCTGTTTTTTGTTACTGCTCCATGGTTCTGTATTGTTTGGCTTGCTGGTTATGGCTCCTGTTGCTCTCTCCCTTTGTTCGTCCTCTGATTCCTGAACCGAGAGCCCTCTGAGCTTTTTTCTTTCTGGTTCGTGGACCTCCTCCCACTCGGTTTCATTTTCACTCCTCCCTCTAGTTGATTTTTGCTTTCTGTTTTATGTGTCTTTCGTCCTGCTCCTTGCTTGGTGTGCTTGCAGGTCACGGGTGCGAGCTGGTCACGGGTGATGGGGAACAACCCCGAGGGACTTCACGTGGGTAGCACTTGGTTGGTTCGCGCACTGTCTTGGAGTTCTGAGTGCGTTGGGAGCCATTGGCACAGGGTCTTCACGCGTGGAACGTGGGCAGCACGGGCTGCTGGGGTCTCGTGCATCGTGGAGAAGTGAGTTCATGTGTGCTCGGTTGTCTTGGTGACTGAGCGTGGCATTGCTTTGGGCTTGCTGTTTGGTGGGTTGTGGGGCATGCTGCTCGGTTGGAGTGCTGTTGATAACCTTGAGGAATTCACGTGGGAGACACTTGGGTGTTGTGGAGCATGGGCACGGGAATGTGGGGAGCTGAGCTGGAGCTGGAGCTGCTGCACATCCTGGGGCTTCACGTGAGGAGTATCTCTAATAGAGAGTACTAGATCAGGTCTTGATGTAATTATTGATGGGCTTTGTTTGTTGGGCCTCGGGTATATTGAGTCTTGTAATTTTGAGTCTAGTTTGGGCTCAATGGACTTTGGACACTTAATTTGTATTTGTGATTGAATTTCAATTTGTGTCCCGATTTCCATATACGATTCCAATCCCAATCGAGCACCTAAAGCCTTCAAACGCAAAATTCCACGCTCCATTATTTGAATTAAATCTTCATCGAGCACAAACATCTCCAAATTAATTCTCGTTAATCATCAAGTGAATTTAAATGGCCCGGACAAAATTAGGGTATTACAGTTGCGGCGTAATTTTATGCTTATTGTGATGTTATGTAACGGTTTTAGACCAAAAAAGTTGTAATATGGTTTTCTTATCACGTTGCATTAATATTGTGTCGTGATGACCTTTAAAATCATTACGATGATGCCGTTACACTGTTTTGCGGCCGCAATTTAATACTATGTCATACAATCGATGTCACATAATTTGAAATGCTTTTTGTTAAATAACTCCCGTTAAGTTAATGCAACTAATGAATCATGTGAACAATATTTTGAACCATCACATCTTTGCCATTATTGTCCCCAAACTTGTTTCATAGTATGTACAGTAAAGGCAAGAAAGAAAACCAGTTTAATTTGGATTCTAAGATGTAGAAATTTATTAAAGCAATACCCCCTAAACTAATTCCATACTTCTTTATAGGTCACCTTTTTATACACAGAAAAATTAGCTGCCTAGCATTTAAGTTTTATCTTCCCCTCTAATGGAGTTCTTGCAATGAGCAATGGCAGCTTGAATTGCAGCCTGCAACTCTTCCATGGTGCTATCACTTGTTGAAGAAGCAAACCCTGTTGTTGCAACAAGTAGACCACTGTTTGTCGGAGATGTCCACATCGACGCCGGAGCCGACTGATACTCTCCTCTCCTTCCTCTGATAAACTCATCTTCCTCGTTGTTTCTCAAACCTAAATTACCCGAAAATGAATAAGCTTGCCTATGGACATGGAGCTTATCTCTCTTCCCTTTGAAGAACAACAAAGGCCGTACCATCCTTACGTATCTTTTCAACAGATGACTGACGTCGAATCTCATATTTTTCTTCTTATGCTTCTTCTCTTTGTGCTCAACGTCGACTCGTCCCTTTTGCCGCCTTGTGAAACTAAACAACGAGAACGACTTGGATTTCTCTCTTGCCGTTGATTCCATGTTGTTGTCGTTAACTGGTCTGCCATTGATGCTCCTAATGTTGCTTTCGCTTTTTCTGCTTTTTTCCGGCTTCGGGTCATCATAAAGCTCCCTTATGGGAAGCGTGAAGCTATCCAATGAGTTGGTGGAGGAACGTGGGGAAACCGGGAGGTGAGAAAGGAGGTGTAGAGGGAGCAAATGACCGTGGAAGAATATATCATCGGCCGGTGTCAAATCAACGGCGATGGAAGACGGTGGGGCTTTGGCTGTATTGGAAGAAGAGTGGAGACAAATTGTGAAAGAGAATTCATGGGAAGGAGAGGAAGAAGGTGAAGCAGATGATACCACCATTGATGAGCCTTCTACTTTCTCCATGATTGAAAGATTATCTTTATGGAGGGGATAAAGAGACAGTGGAGGAAGATAGAGAGAATTGGGTTTAACGCGTCTTTAGTACAAAAAATGGGACATACATTTGGTTTACATTTTGTTTTTGCATAATGCTTCAATGGAGAGGAAAGGGTGTGGTTGCCATTGATGCACTATGAAGATGAGATGAGATGAGATGATACATTTAGCAGTATATGTATCAAATAAAGGGTGGTGGGTCCATTTCTCACAGACAACAACAGCTTTCTCTAAAACTGTTGGATCCAAAAGAAATTTAGATCACAAACATCCAAACTTCGATGATGGCCTGGGATGCCAAACCTAAAACTCCATTCCCTCTATCCTATCATTCTCCCTAGAAATATGTGAATTCATTTCACACTAGGAATCGATAAACAAACTACCAAACTCTTTTATCCTTTAAAGTTACTATACTTCTGCTATGCCGTCGAAAATCTTATTGTTATTTTGACAAGAATTTTAATCTAAATTATTATCTTGTTTATTCTAAAATTTTATATATATAATTGACTAGATTTTCAGTTACAATTCATAATGTTACATTTAGTGTATATTAGGGTCAGTACATTTCCATCCTGATATTTAAATTTTTTTCGGTTAATTATTTTATTGATGGTGTTCACACTGAAATTTTATTTGTGTCCACGTCATTTAAAAATTTTGTGCAATTAATATACGTGTCTACTCTAAAAAATAATTCTAGATCTAATATTGATTACACTATGAGTTTTAACAATTCTGATTGTAACTTAAAAATTACTTTAAAAAATTCATGTAACAGTTTTTAGATTAATGATGAGTTTTTTTAATCATAAATCTTATGTTAACCGAATTGTATTTAAACTCTCCCGCGAGTTAGAGTATGGGAAAGTAGAGCTTTCTCTTTTAGTACTTGTATTGTTTTGTGTGAAACGAGGTTGTTGTGTTTTTCCAACGTGTTTACTTCACAAGGAAATGATGTCATTACTAGAATTGAAAGGTGGAGTTAATTCCCTTTTTCTTCTCGAAGTAATTAATGTTTAAAGTCGAAGTCTACTTCCACGGTTCAACTAATTTGAAATACACATTCCCTTTTGCGCCTTTCTTCTATAGGGATGGACCCGGCCGGTTTGACAACGCTTTCAATATTTTGAGCTGATTTTGATCATTATCCCCCATTCTGGTGAAACCAATTTCAGCGATGGTTGAATTCCCGGACATAAGAAAAGAAATTTTAGTATAAATGCAAATGATTTTCATGGTTCGGATGGAGAACAACGTCCCTACCATGTGATAATCAATTGCATTTTTGCCATTAAGATCAAATCTTCTTTTCTTACTCTTTAATTAACACGACATCCAATGATTGTGCTTTTAGCTTAGCTCTAGTTTTGAGCCTTTGGCAGGGATATGAAGCATTGGTGTAAAGGATGGTTTTCACTCACCAATCATTTTAAGAATAGAATAACGATAAATAATATTCACATAGAAAAAAAATAAGAAGATAATTTTAATTACCTATTTTTATTCACTTTATGATTTAAAAACATGTAAAATAAAATATTTTACATTGTGTAAATGATTTTTTTCCATAAGTTGGGATCCACTTAGACCATGTAACTTTTTTAAAAAAAAATCTACACCTTTTAGGATCGTTAGATGAGTGAAAATAGATGAATGAGATTATTTATTCTTTTAATGACTATTTTTTCATTTCCTAATGTTAATCTAAACTTAAAATGTGTATTTTCTAATGTAAGTTGGGATTCATTTACACATTTTAGTTTATTTGTTTTTACGTTCGAAACTAGCGTGTTATAAACAAGGAGGAAGAAGAAAAGCAAGTGAAATCTTTGAGTCTGATTGAGATGGAAAAGGATGGAAGAAAAGAATGAGATGGTAGACCAACACACACGTGTACACAGTGGTTCTACAAGTTGAGCAGCAGGAGTTTGGGTCTACCCATGGGGGAAATATTGTACGTGTAGTTGAGGTCAACATCTCAATATCTTATTTTGGTGGATTGACTCATCTTTCCCACTCAATATCTTATTTTATTTTCCCCTAAAGATAAAGAAGAAAACACGACATAAAACAAAGATTTCACCCTCATTACCCATTAACATCCTTTTGGTGGGGGATGCCTTTTTTTTAGCTGAATTCCCTTTTCCTCCTTTTGCCGCTGGCCACTCATTATCTCCATAGTCAACTAGTAGAACAATAAATTTATACAAAACAACAATTCACCCTTCTCTTTGCTCCATGGATTTTCTAAACCTTTATTATCCAAAACCTAAGCATCCCTTGGATATTTTCTCTATCTGCTCTCCTTTTGTTTTCATTTTTGTTCTTATTTTATAATCATTATTTTAGACCCTTTACTGAACTTTCTATATTAGCTTTCATACTTTAATTTAATTTGACGTAATTTAGCCCTCTAATTTTATAATGTTATTAAGAAAAATCCAACCAATAGACACGTAAATTTATCATTGACTAAATTTGATTGTTTCAACTTCTAAATGACAGTGTAAGTTGTAACCGAATAATGACAAAATAGAAGATTTTAAATCATTAATAAAATAACAAATCATCAATTTAGACCAATTAATTACACTACAAAAGGAAAAGAAATCAAACTATACTCAATTAAAATTGAGTGATTAAATCTCAAATTTCAAAATAATAAAGGGACTACACACCTCTAAATTATAATGAGAATAACGCCAAAAAGAAGTAAGAGGGAGCACTAATTCGGTGTTGATCTTTATCTAAGTTTATTTAATTAAAAAAATCTATTAAGTGTATTGGGTTAAGTAAGATTATTCAAATGAAATGCAATTTTATCTTATAACTGAGCCTAAGATTATTCAAATGAAATGCAATTTTATCTTATAACTGAGCCTACCAAATGTTGGTATCTAAAAAAGCAAGCCACTTGCCTTGTGAAGGAACTTGAAGCCTACAGACGGGGGACGGGAAAAGCGAGTTCACATGTCATGTATGTTGACTAGAGTCCACATCCTCCAGCCAAGCAGTAGTCTTCTAGTCCCCACAACATAAGATGGTCCCAACTCTGATACATGAATGCTCAACATATCTATCCTCAAAAATGGGCAGTATCCAGCTACTATGTTATCAACACAACACATTATTCACATTCACATCATCCAATCATATGCGTATATGTATGGCTAAATGATTACGGAATAAACTTTGAAATAGAACCAGAATTCTTGAACCTCTAGTTGGGAAAGAATAATGGAATTTGCAAAAAAAAAAAATCTATACCAAGTATTACCTTCCCAGTTGTCAAAGAAAGGAAAGAACAAGTAACCAATGATACATGAACAAATTTCATTCAGCAAGCTAATCACCCAAGTTTTCTCCCTAGTAAGTACTCATCAAACTCCCTATATTATAACAACATTACATCGATGTCCACTATCATTTAATGTTAGCTCTATCAATTTGGAGCAACTGGTATACAATGCGATGAATACATATGGAGAAAATGAATTACCTCAGAGGCATGCCACTATCCCACTGATCAAGTCCATGAAAACCTTCCAGCTATTTTTTCTTTCCATTTTCACTCAAGGTAACGCACAAGTCTCCTCAATGCCAAAGCCACCTTGGGAGCATTGATTCAAATGGGTGTTCAATGCCCTCAAATAAGAAACTTAAGGAAATTACAATTGAGAATGCACCATTTCCCCGTTCATGACCACCACTAGAACAATTGTTAGCGCCCACAAAACCCAACAGTATTTAGAAAGGTCTAGCTAGTCACTGTCACTTCCATGTCTATCTGAAAAAAAGGAAAAACAAGAAAAAAATAAGAATCAATAATTTTTACTTCGGTAACATATATTTGCAATGAAGAAACATTGAGAGAGGGAAGGAGAGAGGTCTGCCGTTACTTCTTGATGATTTTTCCCTTCCATGGCTTCTCTCTTCCCCTGGCAACTAGAACAAAGGAAAGGACCGTCCCATGGATGCAACTTTACTGAATTAGATTTGCCAGCATGAATAGAAATGCCCTCTCCAGGTTTCATCTCTAATTGACAGATTGCACACATGAACAGCTTAAACATGTTGCACAGTGGATATTTTGTAACCAACCTGCACCCAACAGCAAGTCATGCCCCACATAAAAGAAAAACAAAATATAAAATAGATCTGATCATCGATCTGCTGATCGATGTGCAAATTTAAAACTACTATAAAATATTGTTTTTTTATAGAAGTTGGAGGTCTCATTAAAAACTCCCTTCGTATTCTTCCACATACTTCTAAGTATGTTGAAGAACATTGGAAGGAAGAAAAGAGTGCCTCATATTTTATTGAATAGAATACCAAGTACATGTGGTAACACCGAACCCTCATACGGGAATATACACCATTTCAAAAACCGTATCACCTAAAGATCTTCCATCTTCAAACAAAAAACCCCTAAGACAATAACCATATTTCTAAAATACACCTCAAGATGAAAGATAACATAGCAAAATAAAAACCAACAATTACAACCACAAAACTAAAAAAAACGCCTCTGAACACAGCTGTCGAACAGTCACGACCCAATTGGAGGAACAAGTTCTAATGAAACATCGCAATCTTCAGGGACCCAAGAATTAGGTTTGAAGGAAGGATCAACTTCATGCACCAAGATTTTGAATAAATTAGCACCAACCTTCAACTCCAACAACTCATCAATTCACCCTTGTGCCTTAGTGAGTATTTGAATTTTAGCTCGATCAAAAGGCGTTGGAAACTCACAACTGTTGTCGACTGCTATTAACTTGCCCAACTTAGTTGCAATGTTTTTGAAGGTATCCCAATTCCAAACGTGAAAAGGAATACCTTCGCAAACTACCCACACACGACGGCACTCCACCACTAGGCTCTCCGACCAAGTTTCTACTCTGGAAAACCATTCTGCTAGAGTCTCTAACTTATCATCCTTCACGTTTCTCAACGAATCAGAGTCTTCAAAAACCATTAGAACTTCATTTCCAGTAGCTCTCATTAGCGTGAAACCAGCTAGTCCTTTGGCTTGTATCTGGTTTGCAAGATTACCAATTTTGATAAAGTTCTTGCACACCCCACAAGACAATTACTCAACAAGTGAAGTTTATCTACGTCCACAACACCCTCAACTTCACAGTGTTTATTCCTCGAAATATCTTCCAACCCTGACTTACGTTGAACAACTGTCAAGGATTTTCACCAGTAAGACTGTCGGGTTTATATTTAGCCAAAGAGACTCTAATTTTTCTGCCATAAATAAGATTACCATTCATCATTGAAATCGCTTTCCTTGCTTCTTCAATTGTAGCATAGCGAATAAACCCAAAGCGAACCCCATTCGAGTTTCTTTTTTTAGGAATGAAGGCGTCAATAACTTGACCATGTGTGCCAAATAAATATTCAAGTCTCTTCCAATGTATCTTCTCCGATAGGTTCTCAATGAATAACGTGACGCATCCACTTCTATACCCATTACTACCATTTGAATGACCTTCATTCCTCCAATTTTGAAATCCGTTTCTTCTACTTCTCGCAACTTCAGAAGATTTTTCATTGGAATGCCCCTTCGTGGTTAACTCCCTGGTTCCATGGTGATCTACATCATCAGCAGAAAGAGCGGGTGTTGCCAACACTAACGGAAGCCTCTCAATCCTATAATTCCCACCTTGCGAAGGAGACATACCACTTTCATCAATCTTAACAGCAGGTGGTTGACAATCTAATGTTCCTTTAACAGAACATTTTTTCAGAGATTTGGTTGAAAGAGGACGTTCACCTGACCTCGCAGAAACTACTCTTAAATTTTGCTGATTTTGGGGCGTAGGAGAGTGTCTGTATGTAGTGTCGTCGGCCTCAGCTGTCCAACCTGCTTCACGGGCCAAGGCGGCCAATACTTCGTTCATATTAGAACGCTTTGAAATATGGAAATTACCGTATTGCCTCAATCCGGCCAGCATACATCTGGTGAAGGCTCGCCTGTTCCGTTTCCAAAGTTTTTTCCTCTCCTTTTCATTCTCCCTCTCATGTTTTTCCTTGCCTGAGTAGGAAGAAGATGTTGCGTCGTCGGGTCCAGAGGGAGTACGAGTGGGGTTCACAGCGGCTGCACCTGCCGCGACTGTTGCAGCTAACCCACTAGTTCGCCTGTGCTGAGACGGGTGTAGGGGTTCCATGGAGAGATCTGGGTAGCTGGAAAGAGGATTTATTGGAAAAAAACAGAAAGTTTGGAGGATAGGGTAATTTCTTGCCGAACCAGTTCACTGGAAATTAATGGAGAAAAGAATCGATTCTCAACACTAGGAAAGGGGGGTTTTGGTCACGAGAAGAAGCTGAGTTCGGTGGTGAGGCGGTGTCGACCATGAGCGACGGGAAGTTGCATAAATCGGAGGTGAACTTCTTGAAGATCTGCGTCGATTGAATGACTCACTCGCAAATCTAAGGCCAAATTTGGAATCACCTTGAGCCGGCGATCTTCCCTGTAAAAAACAGCTTCAAACGGTAGTCGGAGTATGGCGGCTGACGGCGGACGGCGGCCGGCGGCAGCGGACAACGGGTGGATGACGGTGGCGAAAATAATTCAAAAACGCCTGGGCTCTGGGCTCTAGGAGAAGCGGGACCTTCTCTAACTTATCAGGCCTTACTAAGCTGAGGAATACTACTATAAAATATTGTGGATTCTCATAAACACTAACCTTTCTGAAAGCATAGCAGATCCCTCCTCAAATAATTCTTCCACCACATCAGGCTCCATGTATTCTTCTTTGTCATTTGAAGATGATCCAGAATTCTTCTTGCGAAACATGGACCTAAACATACCTTTGCCTGGCTTCTTTGGTGGCGGCAAAGGAGCAGCTGGCTTCTCTGGTGGTAAGATATCAACAACAATGCAGGTTGTATCATCTCGAAGACCCTTTGACTGTACAGCTTCCTGTTCATTGAAAACCAAGGAATAAGAAAACATGAAGAAATGCATACTTATACTAAAATATGCTGAAGACAAAAGGGCATAGAGCTCTCAGCAGAAGTATTTGAAGAGCATAACAGAATGGAATACGAGTGTACTTTCACAATCTGTGCAGCAGCTGCATCTGGTGGCAGTCCGCGACAACAATCAAGAGCTTCTTCAGCTGATAAAGCATCCCAAACACCATCACTAGAGATAATCATCCTACCACCAGCTGTAGATAACTGCAGAAAATAAACTAGTAGGTAAAATAAAATGATTATTAACAATCAAGAAAAAATATTTTCTAATTTCTGATAAAGCATTCAGTCAAAACCAGAACCTTTCCGAAGAAAACTGATTAAGAATCCAAATGCAAAAGCACTTCAATGTGCGAGTATAGGAAATGTGAGGATATGAAATTAATGGCTCTGCTATGTACTTAACTAGCATGAACTTGAAATGGTCATATGGTTTGAAGTTCAAGGAACTCCATTGCAGCCAAGAATATGTAGCATGTTGTGAAACAAAATGTACAGAATGATATTTAAGCAACAGTGGCAGATCATACCCCCCAAAAAAGTTTGGAAATCCTCAATGAATATGTTTTATACAAAATACATTTAAATGGACCCTCCAACATTATTATTTTTAATTTATCCTAATTTTATGCATTAACAATAGACTAAAATAAAATTGTTGCTCATCTATTTATGAATCCACTGATCATTTACAAAACACATGATTAATAAGCTAACCACAAATATTAAAGTCGTAATCATATAACTATATGAAAAACAACGTTTTTGGCTAAAATAGGGATGGCAATGTCACAGGGCGGAGGATTACCTCATTCACATCCACCCCAAGTTTGTATGGATGTTGAAAATATCCAAATCCATGGATTACTGTTATATCCACATCACTCCACGATGCTCCACCTCATTTCTTTTTCAAGTAATTTTTTTATTTTGATATTATAAAAACAATATTTATAATTTATTTATTAACATATTTTCAGTATATATAATTATTGGTATATGTAAAATGTAAATATAAACATATATAAAAAAATAAATATCACAGATATGATATTAGTATATACATTTGGCATATATACTAAAGATATAAATATTATATATAAAATATTACAAAAGGTTAAAATAATAATTTTAAAAGACATAGCAGAGCAAGCATTTACCATAATACCCCCGCTCCACCATGTGCATCCACATCTGTGGAACGGCTAGGACTTTGCCAGACTTTCTATACTTTTCATTCTGTTCAATATCATTGTGATTGTTTTCAATAGATTTGTTAATTTATGAATAGCTAAAACTTACATATTTCATGAGATTTTTATTTTTTTTTAACGGCTATATTGTTTGCATATAACTTTTGTATTAGGAAATGTTTTAGAAACACCTCAAATGAAAATAGAAAAATACATAATTCCAATTTTCCCCCTTATATAAAATGTCAAGATCTGACACTATTGGGCACACATGTTAAATCAAGAATATATCAGTTACATTCTGCAGGAGGATTATGAAAGACAAACCTTTACTTGCTTTACATATGGAACAGGAACAATAAACTCCCCAACATCCATATCACCAATGGATCGTGAAAGACACAAGCCTCCAGGCCAACATCTCAAAGGACCAATCTATAAAATAACCTCACTGTTAGGTCACCAGCTTTGATCCACACAATTTATCAAATATAGTTTACTCATACTGCAGATGCCAAAATTCTCTAATGAGAATCAATTTATCATCGTTTACAAACATATGAGTATCATGTTTTTTAGATCTGGCAACAAATCAAGACAGATACTGAAAAGTTGTAAATAATTGTAACTGTTACTGTTAGAATCAGCCGTGTATAAGTCTTGTTTGTTTAAGAATCTTTTACGATAAGAAAGAATAAGCCTTGGGAGTTTATTCATAAACCATTGTAATCTTCTAAATTCAATAATCATATTTCTCTTTCATTACCTCTTTTATTCTTTCCCTCTTCTTCAGTTTATTTCCTTGGATTATAACAAGGTATCATCTTAGTCTTATGATAAGAAATGTTAAGTCTTAGGAGCCTTTGTACTCTATCTCTAGATAGAATTTTATATTTAGCAAAAAAATTATCCTATTACAAGTCAACAACTCAGTTTATTTAAACTATTGTATGTTTAGGAGTCTATCACGATAAGAAAGATAAGCCTTAGGAATCTTTGTAATCTCTATCTCTAGATAGAATTTTATCTTTAGCAAAAAAGTCCTATTAGAAGTTAACAACTCGGTTTATTCAAACTATTGTAATCTCCTAAATTCAATAATGAGATTTCTCTTTCATTATCTCTTTTATTCTTTCCCTCTTCTTCAGTTTATTTCTTTAGATTATAAAAGTTACATACAAAAATTAGTAAGTTCTACAAAAGGGTTCTCTAATTCACATTAGTTATCAAATAAGTCTACTGTCTTTTTGGTTAACTGCAGAAAGTGTCATGCATGTCTGAACCTGGATTCTATGTTGTGTTTTACAAGCATTGTAGTTGCACATCCCATTAACACTAATATCTCAAGGGTGTTATGTTTCACTGATGGGGAGAAAAGACTAGGAACCTAGAGAGAGAGAGAAAATAGATAAAGCACCCAAAATGCATCACAATGCACATTTGAAGGGGTAGAGGAGATACCTCTGCACCACCACCAGCATTTAACCGACCAACCTCAGCCCCACATGCAGTGATCCGTTCCCTCCTAATAAGATGAAAACAAAAAGTAAGATCTCAATATTTAGGGGAAAAATACAACAAACGCCATGACAAAAACTTACTCCACTTCATTGCATTCAAGCCTATGATCAGCTGACAAGTAATATATTCCACCTTCAGCTGATTCAAATATACAGCGTGAATCACCAACAGATGCAACTGTTATAACCCATCCTTCTATTATCACAAATGTCACAGTTGTTCCTGATGTTTTTGCTGGAAAAAACCATACCATGTCTAATCAAATACTAAACATGTGGTAGTAAACACAAGAAAAAGTTATTACTCATTTCAAAAAATTAAAAACACAAAAAAACGCCTACTTAATAATATGGTTTCTCCTCTTTATCGCAGTTCCCAACCCAATTGAAGGAACAAATTTCGTGCTTATGTACATGAATTTATAAGCTCATCTATAATCATTTTCAGATAGAGGGTAAAATAATTAATTGGCGAAACTGCCTGGTCTTCTGTTGGTAAAAGTGGTGAATTATCAAGCTGGACACATATTGGTGATGCCAGCTTGACTATATCTAGACCAACTTAAAATTGACATTTCATGACTATCAGTTAACTTTGACGAAATGGTCATAAGCCAAAAATCTTACATGATATTATAAGAATATGGACAAGCTGATCCATTGACAAACATCTTCTAATCTGCTATCTCTTTTAGTTGTATAAAGGAAAGCACCATATTTCCAAGTAAGCATCCCAACCAAACAGCGACACCACTAACCACTCGTAGTGCAAATCAACTATCAAAAAAAAATATCCACCAACTTCCAAAAAGTGACTCTTCCAACACATAAGCACGCTCTCTAATGGAGATTTTTAATGATAAATTACCCTACATGGACCTCACAGAAAAATGAAATAAAATAATGGGGAGAGAATAAAAGATTTAGTTGATTGAAATAGGATACAATCTAAGTCTACACTGATATCTACCATTGCATGAACAATATAAATAAGCAAGTAGCTACCACTCCGAAAGTAAGTGTATAGTTGTAAAATGATAAAAATTATATCCAGACAAATACTCCTTTTTCAACCAAAGCTTATCCAGTAAAACATCTGTTATAATCAAATATGTTTATATAAAAACAAAACAACTCATACCTCTTTGTTGAAAATCTTTATCAGTTTTAACAAATCCTGCAACCAAAGCTCTTGGAAGGGCAGCAATCCATTCATCTCTATTAAGATCTGCTGGCATGGCACTTAGGACATTATTTAGAAGATTCTCTTTAGTGTAAATAGCAGCAGCAGATCCATTGTGTCCATCAAAGAGCTGCCCAAAAAAAAGGTTTAGCAAGACCAACCTATAAATGAAAAAATTACATAAATAAGAAAATAAAGAAATGATATGTATATGTGTGTCAAATCAAACAAATTATACAGATAAATACAGTAATATACCTAGCAAACAAAAGTTAATAAATATTCATATTCTAGTGATTTGAATTATAAGATTTTATGGTTAATCAGACACTTCAAGATCAGAGTATAAAGTATGTGATTAGTGACGATTTAGTTAGTATGAGAGACCAAAAATTCATACCCCATAAACTGAGAATGTGGTGAAACCATCTCCCATCGCTCTTTGACATTCTGTTTTAAGCAACGTAAAATCTTCACCTTTCTTGCTATGGCTAGCTTGTCCGTGCACAATCTCCGGGTCTTCAATTTTCTCACTCGCTAATTCTCGTTTCAGTAGAACTGACAGTGGAAATGTTTGATTCTCGCATCTCGATGTCATTGTTCCAAATTTCCAAATCCAAAAACCACGTCAATAGCTAAAACTCAATCTCACAGACAATACGCCTAACCCTCCATGAATTACACTAAAAGATCCTGTAAAATGCACGATGCCAGCTTCAATAATCAAATCTCATCGCAAAATAAACGAAAAAAAGAACTGAATACATCAATGATCATCCGACACAAATAATATTAGACGGAAATGGCCAGGGAAAAACATCGAGATCTTCCAAAAAATCTGATTTATATAAAATTCAATGGATTAGATTCTTCATCAAAATCGAAAAAGAAAATCTAAATCAATGTAGAGAATAACAATTAATAAGCATTCGTACAAATCAGTTCATTATAACAGAAAAATAAAATGAATCTAGATGTGTATGGAGAATGAAATGGAAAAAAAAGGGTCAAAATCATATAAATATCCAAGGAAAAGAGAAATTGAAAATTACAAAGGAGGAAATCGGTCGATAGCAAAGGATGGAGGAGATTACAAGCGAAGAGAATGAGAAGGCAACGCGAGGAATTGGATTATTCGCTACGATCGAGAGACACCGATCATGGAGTCCTGCGAAATTTTTTTTTTTTTTTGATCGGAAAACTCTTTTTGTGCGACTGAAAAGAAAAAGAAATGTGAATGATAAACGGAAAATTAAAGGAAGAACGACGCCCTTTTTTACAATACGGAAATGGCTTTTCTGCATTTTTTTAAATTTATTTTTTGGCTTTATAATATCTGACGTGGCCAAACGGCAGACTTCTTCTTCACTTGAGTCGGCTGCATAAACCAAAGGAGCCGTTCGTTTTCAAGCCGACGTGTGTAACTACTAACTATGTTCTCTGTTGACCTTTGGGCCCCACGATTGGTTTTAGGTGTATTTTGAACCGTACGATTAAGGACGATTATGAATCCAAAGATCGTAAACAAAGATGTCTCCTGGAGATATATATTCGTGGGCCACACGTTCACCCTTTTTTCAAATCTATTATAGTTTTAGAACCTTTATATATTAAAGTTTAGTATTTAATATCTTCACTTTAATTTAATATAATATAATCCCTTTATTTTTATAATATCATAGATATATCTAAATTGATAACACTCTTAATTATTACTATTTAAATCATAATATAAAATCATTGATAAATATATATGATAATTGAATACTAAAATTTGTTTAAAGCAATATTCACTCCATCATTTTAATGTCATCAGATAATAAAAGACAATTGTCAGTATAAACATTAATAACATTATAAAAATAAAAAATAAATTATATTAAATTAAAATATAGAATCAAATATCCAATTTTAAAAAATCCAATTAAACTTTTTTAAAAGAAATTTGAATTTTTTAATAGTACGAAGTGATTGTAAGATATTATTTGTTTATAATTTTTTAGTCATTAATAACATACACACCTTATAGACATAATTATTTGAATTCAAAATCTTAAAAAAGAATGGCATTCTTTTAATTACTAAATTTAACTAATAAATTCAATTTATATTTTAAAAGGTAAACTATACCATTGACCAATTAACCATTTAACTATTTTATTTCTTTATCGATCTTTCAATTTTTTTAATCAAACCACCTAACTATTTAATTGTAGTCAATCAATTCACTAACTGTTATAAGTGAAGATGTGATGTGGAAGTTAAATATTTTGGTATAATTCGAAATATGGTCCTTATTGTTTATATATCCTTTCAATTTAATCATTTTTTTATAAATTAAAATAAAATCAATCATTCAATCAAATGGTATTACATGTCATCGTCGATTATATGTGGCATCATTCCATTAAATGATTAAACTTATTTTAATTTAATATATTTTCCACCAATCAAATGATGTCACATATCATACTTTGGTTTAAAGAAAATAAATCAAGCAAATTTGGGGTTGGGGATTAGGGATGGGGAAAGTTAAGAACAAACCCAACCACTAAGCTAAATCTAAACATTGGTTTGAGCTAGACAATACCTTGTATATATTTTGTATTTTTGTTTATAAATATTTAACTTAAATTAATACTATTTTATATACCTTTAAAAATAAATTTTATTATTAACTTAATTTAAGATTTTATTATTATTTTTTAATTTAAATATATATATATTATTCTTATCTTAGCTTCAATATATATTTTATTCTTAGCTTAGTTTAAATATATAACCCCCATAGATCGGTACGGGTGACCCAATCCGATTCGAAGTGTCACATTAGACACCGGAGTGACTCACCGTAAAAATCTCGGAAAAATTAATTATTTTTGTCCAAACATATAAAATCATAATAATTTATAAATACAAAAGTAAAATTTACCAATGTTCATAAGTAAAAAAATTTCAGACTTGTATATAAAACAAAATACAACCTACATGTCCCCTATTCACATGCACCATACTCTGCAAACAACGCCGGAGGAACTCCTTTACTGAAGTTGATAATGCATTGGTTTGATTCTTTTAACCTGAAATAGTGAGTCAAAGAGTGAGCTTTGGTAAGCTCAGTAATACAAAACTACCAATTTATGCTACATGACATGCAAATAAATGTAAAGCAATGAAATTTCCTTGTTGACTGAGACGTATTTATGTTTTTTGGGATAAGTTGGGGTTCTACTGGTAGTTCATCGAGTAAAAGCCATAAAGCTTCTAGATCAGAGTAAACATTCGGAGGACTAGTCAGGAGATCAGATCAGGGTGTCTAGTGTGTTCCCACCAAAACCAGTAAAAAGGGTACATATATTTTTAAAACAATAGCAGTTTAAAACATGTTTTCAAAACCATAGTGAAACCCTCCAACTGAACACCGTTATGCAATTCCCCATAACTGTATCCATAAGGGCTTACCCTAAGCACACAACAAAGGGAGTAACACTAAGGAACTGTCTTAGGGCCTGAAAGTCTACCCAAGAAGGTTACTCGGGGCCACGGGCCTACCCAAGAATGATCTCGGGGCCACAGGGGCTACCCAAGAAAGATCTCGGGGCCTCAAATCCTATCCAATGGTCGCCTTAGGTCAGTAAGGATTTACCAGCTGGATCAGGGCTGAACCTCCATACTCTATAATCCTACCCATATAAAAATTCAATAGAAATCAGTTTTAACCGTAAACCATAATATATGGATCGTGATCCAGTAAAATCTCGTAAATGTGACAATGAAATAAACCATATAATTTCCCTCTACCCGTACACTATATGTAGTCCATGATTAACCCAATGGAGTGCCTTGGGGCCTGAGAGCATACCCAAGAAAGTTTCTCGGAGCCTTAGAGCCTACCCAAGGGTCACCTTAGGTCCGTAAGGATTTACCAGCTTAATTAAAGTTGAACCTTCAGCCTACTCAGATAATGTCCCAATAAAACAATTCAAGTATAACCAATGAAAACAGAAAACCATAATTCATAAACCAATAAATTCCATGATTCCATAAATCAAGAACAATCATATATTTCAGTGAAAACTGAAATCAGAAAAGACATACCATGCAGCCATGGTTCATAAGCTAGTAAATCAATAATTTCAATAAAACATTTTCAAAATATATAAGACAATCATGTAGTATATGGGAAACACTCTAGAGGATCCAAATATTTTTTTCAGAGGCACTCGGTAGTTAACAGGGATGGAAAACATGAAAATTATACAATTTGATCAGATTCCAGAAATGAGGTTCTATTAAAATAGATCGATTACTAACCGATCTATTAGCCCGTTAAATTGATACATTAGGACCCCTTTTTATTTAGGTGCATTTAAGAAGGTGTTCATGAACCTTTATATTATAAAAATTCTAGATTCAGAATTACTGAGAGTGATTCCATTACTCAAATAATCAGGGGTATTCAGGATTATGTATGAATTATCAGGATTTTGTGTCCAATTGAACCAACGATCCCAACTCTGCATTACTTGTCAATCATTCAGACTGTGATACTTTATTATTATTCACTTCTTATTATTGACTGCACCAGTTGATCTGATCAGTATCAGAATCATCCTTGATTAGTTCTTGAGGAGACGGATAAGTATTCAGTGGTATTTATTTCTTTTCTATATTGCAACGATATCAATAAATATCGACTTGCTTGATCCGATTTTAAAACCCTTGAGGGTGGTACAACATATAAATTCATCAACGTTTTCAGACTTGTCTGAGTCATTCACTTGATTCTAGGTCTTTGGAGGTACTTAAGTCATTTAGTAGTTAAGTCTATTACGATCACTTTGGAGTTTCAATAGTAATTCAATCATTTCTGAAATTCGGATACATACATTTCTTCCATTATGTCCATCTTGTTCATATAATTTAGTCATTTCATGAAATTCAGTCGCGTAAAGTACCTTCGATAATTCAATCTTCGGGTGTTGTCTCAAAAATAGAAATTCTAGGTCATTTCATATTTTGAGGTTGATTTATTCATTTCAGAGCTGGAGGGTATTTAGTTATTCCAGTGCTTAGACGTTCTTTGGTCATTTTACACTTCAGGAGCATTCCAATATAGATTCGGAGTTTAAATCAATGATTCCAAGGTTTAAGATACGAATTCTCATGTCGTCTCCATATCATAGCCATTCATTGTGATATTTACACTTTAAGTGTATCATCGTCATTTCATACAAATATGTCAGTAACGTTACTTCTTATATATTAGGCTTCAAGTATTCTAGTTCCTTTTATCAATGGAGGTTATTATAGTTATTACAAAGTTTGAGGACAATTCAGTAATTCCTTTCAATTCAATCATATGTAGTTTTTCTGATAATTGGTCAAGTATGTCTTTTCTGGGTTATCTTACACCATCCGGGGAAGACTTGATCTTTTACAGTACAAAGGCATTTTCGTAATTTTACCCCATATGGCTATTTTTGGAAATTTCTTATCCAAATAATCCCGGTATTTAAACTTTAAAGAAATTTATCAAATTTTACGGATCTTGAAATCAATTCAATTATTATTGAATCACAGAACTTATAATTATTTCCAATCGATCTTTTAGTTTTTCTTATTCGAACCGTCTGAGTCTTATACTGTGTTCTGTCTTTATTCCAATTTACGTCTAAATCCAACGATAATTAAATACATCTAATGGACCAATAATTTCCATTCATACATTTATCATCTATCAATGAGCTCCGAAAAGCATACAAAAGGTAGTAGAGTATTACCTCAATTTTCGTGCCATATCGATCAACCATTTAAACTCCATTCGATCATCCTCGAACTTTAATTCCATGTTCCATTATGTCTCGGATACATAGAAACAAAATTTATGTCAGAAACTAAACTTAAATGAGAAATCAACTTTAATTCGAAGATAAAACATTGAAAAATGGCTTATCGAGCGCGAATTTGGAAAAAATAGACTTCGAATTCGGACTCAGGACGTCGAAAAACATAAAATGAGACATTTTCGAAAAAGTTAACTTTTTGGTCAAAGTCAACAGGTTGACTTGACTCAGTTCGGGTTGACTCGGTCGGGTCAACCAGACCCGATTCAGACCGGTTCATGGAAGTTTAGTCCACCTTGACCGTTTCTAGAAGACACTATAGCTGGGGAAGAGCCCCAAGCGCACGACAGCACGTGCGCGACAACAAGGGCAGTTT